GAATGATACCGTAAAATTTAAGGTTTTCAGACATTTTCAACGTTACAAATTTTTATTGTAAAATTTAAGTATATTTATTTATTTTCACTGAAAATAATTATAATTTCAACAATTTATTACAGTAAAAAAACACAGTTGTATCCAGTCTCACAATTAACGGTTATTGAATCTATGTAATACAGTAAAATGAATTTTTTGGTTGTACGCACCAATACAGTTGGAATTTGACAGTGTTTTACTGTACATTTTACCGACTTTTTTTTACAGTGTAGAAGGGATTTCGTCTCAGAGGTTAAAGCAACAGGAAAATGGACCAATAAAACGTTAGATTATTTTCTTCTTTTACTCTAGAAAAGTAAAATACACATTTATCCCCAAAACAAAAAAATCCTGCATCTCATCAGCGTCCTAAGAAACAAGCGTCCTTGTTTGCAGCCCCTTTGAGTTAAATCTAATTTCTTACAGTTTGAAAATAAAAGAAGAGTCTCAAATGTGAATGTTTAGCTCTGAGGCACAAACTCGGTGTGTTACAGTCGGAGGACAGAGACTTCGGTTAAAATTGGGAAGTTGAAACAAAAAGCAATTTGAAGCAATGAATCGGCAGAGAAACCAAATGAAAAGAAAACTTTTTTTTTCTTTGAGTTAAACATCTAACAGCTTGTGGAAATTGTTTTGTTTTCTTCTATTTTCCACCAGAAAATCATTTGTTTCTTTTAGGTTGTTTTCCAACGTTAGGGAAATTTTTAACACCCTCTGATGCAAACTTTCCATCGACTGACTCGTCTGTTTTCAGGACAGGATGAATGTATTTGTGCATCGTTGGAAGTTGAGATTTCTCAGATATAGAAAGTTGAGCTTGAGTTTAACTGGAGAGGAGAGTTAAGGTTCAGTTCCTTCAGTTTTTATCAAAAACCTGAAAGTGTATTTCATTGAGGTACAGTAATGTGTATTTAATTAAGTGTCTTGTATTATGTTTTTCATATGAATTCTAGTTTCTGACAGGTTTTCTTTTAACTTTGACTAACTTCTATTCAACAGAAGAATCGGGACCTTCGCGCTCCATCCTCAGTGGTGTTGAACCCTTTACCTTGAAGGACACGATCCAGCATGTTTTAGTTGTTTCTCTGCTCCACCCACTGATTAAAATCAGGTGTGTTGAAGCCAAGGGGCAGCCTCTAAAGACTAATTGCAGTTCTCCTCTCATCTACTAGAGGCTGGCTCCAGAGAAGAGCAAGTTCTCATTGACTCCCATGCAGGGGCGACGTTAGGCCCGGCTACTTGGGCTGAAGCCCCGGATGTTTTATGAAAAGCCCCGGATCTAAATCGCGGAAGTTACATGCAGTACCAACGTCCAACAGAGAGGGAGCAGCTGGCAGTAGTTTGTATACAGCCTGCCTGAGCCTCCACCACTGAAGAAGAAGCCCTTCAGCAGCCGGCTTCTTCTGCAGTGCCTGGTTTCTTCTACAGGTGCTGGCCAGTAAATTAGAATATCATCAAAAGGTTGAAAATATTTCAGTAATTCCATTCAAAACGTGAAACTTGTACATTATATTCATGCAATGCACACAGACCAATGTATTTCCAATGTTCATTACATTTAAATTTGATATTCATAAGTGACAACTAATGAAAACTCCAAATTTGGTATCTCAAAAAATTAGAATATTCTGAAAAGGCTGAATATAGAAGACACCTGCTGCCACTCTAATCAGCTGATTTACTCAAAACACCTGCAAAGGCCTTTAAAAGGTCCCTCAGTCTTGTTTTGAAGGCACCACAATCATGGGGAAGACTTCTGACTTAACAGCTGTCCAAAAGACAATCATTGACACCTTGCACAAGGAGGGCAAGACACAAAAGGTGATTGCTAAAGAAGCTGGCTGTTCGCAGAGCTCTGTGTCCAAGCACATTAACAGACAGGAGAAGGGACGGAAAAAATGTGGTAGAAAAAAGTGTACAAGCTCTAGGGATAACCGCACCCTGCAGAGAATTGTGACGACAAACCCATTCAAAAATGTGGGGGAGATCCACAAAGAGTGGACTGCAGCTGGAGTCAGCGCTTCAAGAACCACCACGAGGAGACTCATGAAAGACATGGGATTCAGGTGTCGCATTCCGTGTGTCAAGCCACTCTTGAACAAGAAACAGCGCAAGAAGCGTCTCGCCTGGGCCAAGGACAAAAAGGACTGGACTGATGCTGAGTGGTCCAAAGTTATGTTTTCTGATGAAAGCAAGTTCTGCATTTCCTTTGGAAATCAAGGACCCAGAGTCTGGAGGAAGAGCGGAGAAGCACAGAATCCACGTTGCATGAGGTCCAGTGTAAAGTTTCCACCGTCAGTGATGGTGTGGGGTGCCATGTCATCTGCCGGTGTTGGCCCACTCTGTTTCCTGAGGTCCAGGGTCAATGCAGCCGTCTACCAGGAAGTTTTAGAGCACTTCATGCTTCCTGCTGCTGACCAACTTTATGGGGATGCAGACTTCACCTTTCAACAGGACTTGGCACCTGCACACAGTGCCAAAACCACCAGCACCTGGTTCAAGGACCATGGTATCCCTGTCCTTGATTGGCCAGCAAACTCGCCTGACCTTAACCCCATAGAAAATCTATGGGGTATTGTGAAGCGGAGGATGCAATACGCTAGACCCAACAATGCAGAGGAGCTGAAGACGACTATCAGAGCAACCTGGGCTCTCATAACACCTGAGCAGTGCCACAGACTGATCGAGTCCATGCCACGCCGCATTACTGCAGTTATTGAGGCAAAAGGAGCCCCGACTAAGTATTGAGTGCTATACATGCACATTCTTTTCATGTTCATTCTTTTCAGTTGGCCAACATTAGAGAAACAAACATTTTTTCATTGGCCTTTAGAATATTCTAATTTTCTGAGATACCAGATTTGATGTTTTCATTGGTTGTCACCTATAAATATCAAATTTAAATGTAATGAACATTGGAAATACATTGGTCTGTGTGCATTGCATGAATATAATGTACAAGTTTCACGTTTTGAATGGAATTACTGAAATATTTTCAACCTTTTGATGATATTCTAATTTACTGGCCAGCACCTGTACACTCTGCCTGAAACGCATGAGTGAAGATGGACATAAGGACATTTTTTAGACCAAAAGTACCGCGACAGAACCCCAGCTTTGATGATACTGGTGTTGACTCAGGTTTGTGGGTCTTATTTGAAAATATTTGTTGTGCTGCTGGTTTGCCTAAAGTTAGCTTACTATCAGGTAAAGTTGATAGAGAAAGAAAGGGAATATTTACTATCATCTCACACTAAACACTAACAGGAACAATACTCTGCCCTGAAAATGCTTAATATGCAGCTTCAGATTAAAAATTATATGGTACAAGACAAATATATATGATGTTGACTAGTGAGTGTCACATGTGTGTGCGTGCGCGTGTGTGTTAAGCCCCGGATCTTCTTCAGTCCTAAATCCGCCCCTGCTCCCATGTTAAAAGAAAGAAACATGTTTACAGCCTGGTTCAAAAGCCATTTTAGGTTTACTACATTAAGTTTAGTGTTATGACAACTCTGAGGGGGGTAAATTTTTGTTGTAACTCATCCATTTAGAGTTAATTAAAGCTTGACATTATGAATAATTAGAGGTGTGTCCATTTAACTGACAGGGAGCAGATGAGCTGTCCGCGCTAGTGGCTTGACTCCTGCATGCTCCAGAGAAGGTCTCATCCTTGGCCTCACGCTAAGTGTTGTTTTTTGGCTAAAAGCACCACCAACCTCTGTTAGCCTCAGTTAGCTCCAGGTTAGCTCAGTTAGCTAGTAGCTACATCATCTGCCCCCCACTCACAGCCCTGCTCGCAGCTCAATTTTTCTATTTTTTGAGAGTGAAGAAACACATGATGTGGCAATAGCTACGGGTGATAGCGCAAAGCGTTCATCCATTATATGTACAGTCTATGGTTGGAGCAGAGGAACCTGTAAAGCCCGGTTCAAAGAGCAAGAGAAGTATGCTGATTACCGTAGTGGCTCTTAAGATAATCTTATCAGATCATTCTTCCGTGTGTGGTGTGTTTCTAGTGCTCTGGTTTTGGAGGGACGTTGAAAACATAAATCTTAACTTTGGAACATGTTGGACTGTCTTGGTCAGATTTTCGTAGACAAACAAGATGAATGTGATGAGTAGCCAATCAGAGTGGATGTGCACAGCACACTCCTCTTCCCCCATGTTTGTTTACATTAAAGAGACTATGTGTTGTTTTTACCATTAATTTCTGGAAATATCCATCAAAATGTTGTTCAGAATGAATGAAATGATGCCCAGTTGTTGAAAAATATTGTCCTCTTTGTAACATATAACCATAAAAATCAGGTCTAAAATACATGGGAGCAGGTCTAAGTCTCTGGCTGATGCCACATTAGATGCCATGCTTCCTTTTACGGGAGCCCATGAGGACAAAACACATTTAATGATTTGTAACAAATGGTTACAAAACTTTTGTCATTCTTAAATGTTGTTTTACACATTTACCTATTCACTTGTTGCCAGTGATGAAAGGGAGTTTGATGTGCTTGTTAATTTGCTAAAGTTTGCACTCCACAGGGCTTTTTGACCCTAATGGGCATCCGTTGGTATGGTCTTACTCCAACAAAAAAATACTGCTCGCTTGCAATGATTTAGGTATTTACTGCCCCCTATTGCCAAGAAAAATACACACTGTCACTTTAAAGTCACAGTTTATCTTGAAAGATCTTTGCCAAGTTGCAGCAAACCAAACACTGTAGGACCAAAACCTGCACAGCCGGCCATGTGTGGTTTTGCAGGCTTTGAAAATTGGCTGACATTTAATAAATCCTGCCGTGTGAACTGGACTTAAAATATACTGGACAGAAGGACCAGGGTTGGGTTCCACGTCCCTCGCTGGTTGAGTTTTCAGCTAACAGCTCTTTGGAAAATTAGTGTGTTTGTCAAGTGCTTCTTTTTCTGTGAGGCGTCTACACTTGAAAAGACCAGACTTTGGCTTCACTCAGATGTCTTTATTTGACCAGTTTCAGGATCATCATAAAGGTCAGCATCAGTATCAGGTGAAAACCTTTAAATACAAAACAGAACGTTTTAACAATCACACAAACACCAAACAAAATCAACAGATAACATAAATTAAAAATCATTTAAGCCAACATCTGTAATTTACTTTATACACAGTTACCTTTTCAGTATTTAACCTGTGTTTTTTAAACATTTTAATTAAGGTTTGAAATAAGGATTATTGTTTGCAAAGAATCTGATTTCATTCTAACCAAACACTTTACTCCAACTCAAAGAAAACACAAACTTTCTCCCAACACATTTGTTAACCACAAGAGCTTGGATCAAACACAAGTCCATATGAATCAGTCCAAAAGCTTACCGATAGCCTGTCAAGATCAAAAGTCCTCCTCACAGTTGAATTGTTTGCTGTCCCTGCCATCTCAGTTTGTCACACACTGGCTGAATGCCTGCCGCAGGCCTCGAGAAGCCACTGAATTGTGAGGTTGTGTGCTCTTGATTTCTTAATTTGGCTCACCTAGAGGAGGACACACACCAGAGTTCACAAGCCCCCTCTGGCCAGTGAGAAGATTGCATGCAGAGCTCATGTGCAGATACTGTGCAGAAGAGACAGCGTGAGGGGAAGACAGTTGACAGAGCGATATCTGCCAAGTTAGCATGACACCTCCCACTCAATCTGGCATGCCCAGAAAGATCGCATACAGGCGAGCTTTATCCGACTTGATCTTCTATCGGTATAAGGACCACAAGGCGTCGGACATGCCGATGCAAAACGGTGCGTGACTCAGGATCTTTGGTAGCAGATTTTGGACTCTTCATTGAAACGCTGGAACTTGGAGAGACCCTCACGCACACGTCTCGAACAACACCTCTAGAATCAGGATTCACGTTGCTGACTTTTCCAAGTCTGAACTGCCCTCTTAGTGCATTTTGGCCGCCGATCAAAACAATGTCTCCAATGGCAACGTTCCTTTCAGCAGTAGGCCACCTACTTCGAACGAACAGATTTGGGCCAGCAAGTTGGCTCCAAGATTTCCAGAAGTTGGTGACTGTTGTTTGTACTTTAGTGAGCCTTTTGATAGGGTAGGTGGTGTAGTCAACAGCTCTAAAGTCCCCCCTTTGTGTGGCTCGACCAAGCAACAGGTTGTTTGGCGTGATGTACTGGATGCATTCTTCTCTGCTCTGAATTCTGGCATCAATGGGTTCTGAGATGATATTTTATGGGTAAAACTGCTTTATAATGTCAGAATGATTCCAAAATCTGAGTTAAGTGGCTGGGAAGAAGAATTCCTACAAACATGAAAACTTGATTGAAAAGAGGTGAAAGAGCAGCCAAAAACTTTCAAAGATGTTGAAGAAAATTACACAAACGTTTGGCTCGTTGGACACAAAATGTTTAAAAATTAAAACAGGGCTGACTCAATACATCTGCACAGATTTGCAATGCAGGAAAAAAAATCCTTTGACATTTAAAAGTGTCAAAATTTATTTTAAAAACATGTAAAAACTAAATCTTTCTTCCTGAGATCTAACTTTCCTGTGCAAAAGCTTCCTTTAGATGCGTTTATAATAACAGGGAAAACTCAGTGTGATGAGAAGGAGGAGCTCCCACTGTGAACGGTGATGATGAAATCACCTCCCGGTCATCTTAACTGTAAACATCACCTCGTAAACATCAGCATCTGCGGGCTGTTTGGAAACACAGAAAGTACGTGCATCTAAAATGAAAACATCCATTTTCAGGCGTGGAAACTGGTGAGAGATCACATCTCTCCCTGAGATCTCTGCTGTGATCTCTCTCCCTGGGAAATGATGCTTTTGACATTTATAGCTGCTGAACATCCGTCCCTGACGCACTTGTTGTTTGCTCTTTGTTTTATTAAGCGTGATGAGTCAGTCTTTCCCTTCCACTGTCCAGCATGGTCGACTCTGTTACCACGGCGATTTATCCTCCACTGATTGATCAAACTGCTGATGTTACCTGATGGTGGCAGAGTGAATTTCTTTTTGCACCAGATTTGAACTTCATATCGTTCAACTGAACATCTCTGTCTGTTTTTATTGTTTTCATGACAAACATCCACTAAGTGTCATGAATCGTGTGAAGTCAGGACTCGGCGAAACACGGAGGGGCTGAAACTTTAACGTGACATTGTCTGAGTTTACCTCGACTTAAAATTAACACGTTTTACAAAATGAATCAAAGGTCAGCTCAACTTCTCCAGCTCCTCCTGAGGAAGGCATTCCCAGATCAGAAAGAAGAAATAATCCCTCCAATGGGTTTTCCTCAAGATCTCCCTTAAGTGGGACATGCATAGAAAACTAAATCCAGACCAGGAGGCATCCTGAACCAGCTGACTCCTACCCACACAAATAGCGTAATTATTTAGCTTTTTAAGCACATTCGAGATGTCTGGGGTCACATGCTTTGATGCCATTTTGAGGGTCTGAAGCTGAAAAGTTTGGAAACGACATGTGAAAGTTGCAGCAACTCAACAGCAAAACCTTTCAACTCACTTGCAATTTTTTTCCAGACAATATCGAAAGTCCATCGTGATCCCTGCAAGATCCTCTTTGACCACAAGACATTGGCGGTTCTAGGGCCGGGGCCACAGGGGCATTGGTCCCTGTTGAAATCTGATTGGCTCCCTTGGAGTGCTCATGTCCTGTCCCTCATCTTTCCTTTGCACGATGATTAGGTTACAGGTGGATGCAACTCCAAGTCCAAACAAAAGGTGATAATGGTAAATGGCCTGTATTTGATATAGCGCCTTCTAGAGCTCTTGAAACCCCCCAAGGCACTTTACAATGCAATCAGTCATTCACCCATTCACACACACACATTCACACACTGGTGGGGATGAGCTACAATGTAGCCACAGCTGCCCTGGGGCGCACTGACAGAGGCGAGGCTGCCAAGCACTGGCGCCACCAGTCCCTTCGACCACCACCAGCAGGCAACGTGGGTTAAGTGTCTTGCCCAAGGACACAACAACAGTGGCAGACTGAGCGGGGCTCGAACCTGCAACCTTCCGATTACGGGGCGAGCACTTAACTCCCGTGCCACCGTCGCCCCATAATGAGCAAAATAGGAATTTCTAGCATGAAATCTTGTGTACAGGTGTCCGATCAATACGTGGCCCTTCAATAAATTTTGTGGCCCCCCTTGATGGCCCCACACACAGAAAACTCCTAGCTCCACCACTGCCTCAAGAAAGAAAGTTCATGCTGTGTTTAGCAGCCTCATCAGTGAGTGGCATATGTAAAAAAGAACAGAGGTTAGAGCCGTATTTTCATCTGTTTTATTATTTTTTCTGTTGTACTCTCACTTGTTCACCCGACAGCACGTCTGTCTGTGTGGTGCTGAGCAGGTGGCGTGCCGTCGGCTTCAGAACTGGAAACAGCCACCTACTGCTGCAGTTAGACAGCACTAAACGTTGGCTTCCCATGCTGTGAAATCAAAACATCGAGTAAAAAAGATGCAAAACAGTCCGCGCTGAAGATTACAGCAGAGTAAGTTTTTTTAAACATCAATAAAAGCCAACTGGTTTGCATGGGTGGAGTCCTGAGATTATACAATGAGACCATGGACGTAATTTTCACTTTAGAAGTGGGGGGGACACGGGTGTGTGTGTGTGTGTGGGGGGGGGGGGGTATCTTTACAGTATGCTCTAATGGGAAACAGGCTTCAACACAAACAGTTGTTTTCCACTTGGTCCTAGAGCTCAACCAGTGTCAATTTAATATAGCGTAATATTGTTTTTGGATGGTAAAAAGTGCAGGGGTCAAAACTTGTCTATGGAAAAAGTGGGGGGGACATGTCCCCCCTGACCCCCCCCCCCCCCCCCCCCCCCCAAATTACGTCCATGAATGAGACAGTTTAGGGTGTTTTTTTTCTATTTTACCCTTGTTGATCCCAAAAGACAAATTGTATTGTTTAGTTATTAAAACATTAATAAATCAAACAGCTCATAACGTCTAGCTGTTTTGTTAGAACAAGAGAGGATCTGGTCTAAGTTTGGATATCATTTGTAGCTTTAATGAGGATACCACACACCAGCGAGCTGTTTTAAGGCCTAATGAAGGCTCAGGCTGAGCTTTAATGAGGTGAGCTGCTTAGGGATGCTGCTTCAAGCCCTCGTTAATCAGCACATTCCTCTCAGCTTTCCATTTTGTCCCTGAATGTAGCTGTCCTCCTCGTTTTCGCCCATCTGTAATTACACAGCACATTCCCCTCCTCATGCGCTACAGAGTTTTTGGTGAATCTGCGCTGACACATGTACACGTTTAGACACTTTCCCTTCTTCCTGTCCATCAGGAAGAAGCTGCTTCCTCCTGAACGGTGCTGCTGAGTGAGGCGAAGGAGGCAGACACGTTAGAAACAGAGAGAGAGAGGCAGAGGTGTCCATTAGTGGGACGTCTTGGGAATAAACGCACAAGACAGTGGAGGGTGTTTGAGTTTCCTTTGTCAGTTTAGTTCCTGTAAATGGTAAATGGTCTGTATTTGATATAGCGCCTTCTAGAGTCCTGGAACTCCCCAAGGCGCTTTACAACACAATCAGTCATTCACCCATTCACACACATTCACACACTGGTGGGGATGAACTATGATGTAGCCACAGCTGCCCTGGGGCGCACTGACAGAGGCGAGGCTGCCGAGCACTGGCGCCACCGGTCCCTCCGACCACCACCAGCAGGCAACGTGGGTTAAGTGTCTTGCCCAAGGACACAACGACAGGGACAGTCTGAGTGGGGCTCGAACCTGCAACCTTCCGATTACGGGGCGAACACTTAACTCCTGTGCCACCGTCGCCCCTGTCTGTACATCTGAGCCGGGAGGATATTTGATTGGTTGATTTCATAGATTTAAAGACAAATTGAAAGAAATAAGTCAAATTCACAATAATTAAAGGCATAAATAAGAAAGCAATCATGTAAGATGTTATCTGATACAGTAAAGTCGTATATTTAAGGGTTATGAACTTTTTTTTATCATTGTTGAGGGTTCATTTAAGGCTTTTGTCTCTCAACTTTGGACATTTTTGACTGAAATAATTGTTTTGATCATGATAATGATTTTGAAAATCAGTAAAGTGAATGGCCTTTGTCCTTTTTAATGTTTCTGTTGTTTTATCTTTGATGTTTATTCTAAGAACATGGTCATTTTTGGTAGTTTTGACATCTCATTAACCCCTTAGCATTCCAGCGCCCTGCCCATGGGACAAAACCCCATTCCGTTCACTAAACCTGGAAATTTAAGGGGTCAAAACAGTTTTGTATCTGTGCAGGTTATTTGTTGTTTTCCGTGTCTGTTTAGTTCTGTCGTGTGACGTGATCGTGACTGGGCTCATCTCAGAGGAAAATGAGTCTACATGCTGAGATGAGGTCGAGATGTCATTCTGGTGCTCTACAGACAGCCTGTCACTAAACACCTAAAAAAAAGAAATGATTCTGGACTTCAGGAACAATTCACCCATTTTATTAATTAACAGCACAGAAAATAAATAAATGCCATGTTTTAACACTCTCAGGCTCAAAATAAGTTTAGATAAAAGGACGAACAACTAAGCCCTTCGGGGGTACTTCTGAGTTTTAAAATGCTCATGAAATACGTATGTGGAGTAACCAAGTAGGTAGGTTTTAACTTAGCAAATCTGCAACGCCTGCCTCCACAGGGTTAAATTCCTGGGCATCCATGTCTAAGGACCTCCCCTGGTCATGAATAACACCCCACAATTCATCAGGAGCAGTCAGCAGAGGTTATACTTCCTCAGGTGTTCAGGAGGAACAACCCGGAGAGGAAGCTGCTGGTAGCGTTCTACCAGGCATCCATGGAGAGCATCCTACAGTACCGCATCTCTGTGTGGTTCGCTGCTCTGCTGCAGATTAAAAGGTCCTGCAGAAAACATCATTGGCTGTCTTTGGCACTCGCTGGAAGATCTCACCACCTCATGCTACATCAACAGGGCTCAAAACATCATCAAAGACCTCTCCCATCTATTTTCTATACCTGCTTGTCCATGCAGGGTTGCTAGTGTCTGCCTCCAGCAGTCTTCAGGCAAGCAGGCAGGGTTGGACAGGTTGCAACATATAGACACACAGGACAAACAACCACTCACACACACACACACACACACACACACACGTACGTGTGCACACACCTAAGGAATTAAGAAAGAGACCAATAATCTTCAACAGTTGGAGAGAAAATGCAAGCTCCATGCAGGAAGACCCAAAGCTGGGATTTGAACCTCCTGGGACCTTCCTGCTGCAACACAACAGTGCCAACCACTGTGCCAACGTGCAGCCCCCCCTCCTCCCCCACTTGAATAAAGTTTTGTCAGTTGTGTTACTGTTATAGAAAAAAATAACATAAATTTAAAAATTCATTCGTGCAAATGTCTTTCCATGCATTGATGATGTAAAGGTCAAAGAAGAAACTTTCATGAGACTTTTCATGCACTGGGAGAACTGTAGTAACATTAGGGATGGGTACCGAATTCGGTACTTTTTAAGGTACCGACCGAATTCCATAGTACCGACCGAGCACAGATTCACGTCATTTCAAATGGTGCCTCGTTTCGGTACCCGTCCATCATAACGAGAACTTGCCAAGACAGCTGCACATGCGCAAGAGCGTTTTGTCATCGGTCGCTGCGAACCAGTTGTAAACAGAGCAGCATGGTAGAAAGAACACACGCTAAAGCTTGGGTCCACTTCACTAAATGTGATGGGCAACTGGGTGATGATGAAACCAGCGACAACGATCTAAGTGAGACATCCTCATCTTAATCTGCTCCGGTAGGTAAATATAATTAGCTTGATATGTTAGCTTCCGTTTTGCTAATGGTGCGTTTGCTTTCTCCTCGGAACTCCGAATTCCCGACTAGAAGAACATGAATGCGCTCTAAAGTTTTGCTTCACTTTACTAAATACGACAGGTGATTGGGTGAAGACGAAACCAGTGACAACGATCTAAGTGTGAGGCATCATCGTTTTAATCTGCTCCAGCAGCTAAATAAACTGTTTAAGATAACGTTAGCTTGGTATGTTAGCTTCCATTGCTACCATTGTTATCAGCTAATGGTGCGTTCGCTTTCTCCTCGGAAATTCTATCTTCCCAGTAGGAAAAATAAATTGAAAAAGGACGGTAAAAGGAATGAAGATACACAGTAAATTTAATTCACAGTAAAGATGTTTGCTTCAGTTTAATTATCAGCTTATAAAACTACAAGGACGATGTTAAAATACAAACAGTTGTATGTTATTTATTGTGATATTTATCAAATATTGTTATATATTGAGAAAAATATATATTTAATTATAAAAGAGAATTAAAATAATAAACACTCAAAAGTATCGAAAATTGGTACCGTTAAGTACCGGTATCGATTCATGGGTACCGGGAATTAGTACCGGATCGATTCAAATGTCAAAGGTACCCATCCCTAGGGACAGTTAATAAAAGCTTTGACTTGTTAGTAATGCAGAGCAACAATTCAGCCAGATGTCAGGGAACCGTTTTGAATCCCGTACTTAAATCAAATCCATCTGTAGGATTAAATACCAGCATAAACTCCCACATCCATCAGATTTGACAGCGAAGACGCCTGCATCGTAAATCAATGCAACAAACTGAGCTGTTCTCAGAGCAGCCTTCGTCTTCTGACAGATGCACTCAAATAAATACAAAGTTTATCCACCGCAGCCCATAAACCCGTCACCAATTACACACTCCTTCAGCCTCAAAACACAATTAACATCAGATCAATACTTTTCTGCTCAATTAGCCCGTGACTAACGCTCAAACATGTATAGAGGAAATAATAAAGGCATGATGGGATTGACATCTGACCTCTGCATTGATATTAGCCAGTTTCATTGTTTCTTTGAACTCAGAATGATTCTTCTTCTTCTTCTGTTGGTGATAAAATGGAAATGAGCGCTGACAGCTTCGGAAGAGCTGACTCTAATTTGACATTGTTCTCATCAGTGGGGCGCTTTAACAGATTACTTGATCCTTGTCTGATTGTCTTTGTGGACGATCCAAGACTTTCCAGCCTGTTCAGCACAAAGATGTTTCTTTAAATGCAGCGTAAAATAAAAGACTCGGGACGTGTTTATCTCCATGTTTGATTTGAGACTTGATTTAGGTTTTGAATGTCTTCTCATTTCCTCTTTTGCAGGATGAAAATCTTAGCCAGAAGCAAGAGTTGTAAACTTGAATTGTGATGTTTTACTGGTACTTTCGCAAATCTGCTAGAACAAAATACAGGAGACTCCTGATTTAACTACATAAAACTTAAAAAATTGTGACTTTTTCAAAGCTTAAAAAAAAGATTTTATATCATTAAAAATAGTTGATCCAAAAAAACACAGATGCAACCCAGATTAACCCTTCAACTGCTGCCAGAGCATCACCCCAGATGAGCTCCACTTTGCTGATGATTCTCTTTCACTGCTGACTCAGAGACTCACACACCAGGTAAGTGTTCTTAGCATGGAACAAAAGTAGTTTGTATATTAAACTAATGAGAACTATTAATGAGAAACAAGGGTCTACAATTATTTAGGGATGTCCCGTTCCAATATCGATATTGGCCCAAAAACACTACTGGATTATATCGGACTGCATCATAAATCTCTGATGTTAGCTGTCCATTTAGCTTTAAATTTCATTCCAGCAGCGCCCTGATCCAGTATGCAAATCTCACTTGATCAGAACAGTGCATGCTAGCAAAGTAGCAAGGAGCAATGTCAACTGTGTGACAGTATTTTTTGTTAGTCTAC